TCCAATGCGCTGAAACGCCGCTGAGGCCGATCTGCATGCTCCACCGGAAAAATCTCGGCATCCTTCCCTGACTGGTCGGGCGGAAGCACCCCCCAAATTCAAGCCCAAAGCCCCACTCCCTAAACCCTAAACCTCAACCCTGAACCCTCAAACCCTACTCCCTAAACCCTCAAGCCGTGAAGCCCTGAAACCGAAGCCTCCAGAAGCGCTAAGCCCGAAGAGCTGCACCGCCCACCTCTTCTTCGGTCCATCTCATCAGCACCCCACATCAGAACCCCTAAACCCTAACCGTAAAATGAACACTAAAACTAAACCCCAAAACCCTAAACCCTAAAAACCTAAATCCTCAAAGGCCCCAAACCCTAAACCCTAAACCCTAAAACCATAAAACCCTCAAACCCTAAACCCTAAAACCCCAAAGCCCTAAACCCACAGAGCCCTAAAACCCTAAACCCTAAAGCCCTAAACACTAAACCCTTAAACCCTGAAACCCTAAAACCCTAAAGCCCAAAACTCTAAACCCTAAAGCCCTAAACCCTCAAAGCCCTAAAACCCTCAACCCTAAACCCTAAACCCTAAACCCTGAAACCCTAGAGCCCTAAAGCCCTAAAACCCTAAAACCCTAAATCCCTAACCTTCCTAAACCCTAAAGCCCTAAAGCCCTAAACCCACAGAGCCCCACAGTGCCCGTCATGAGCAGAGCTCCTCCAGGCAGCGCCTTTTTTGCCCAGGCCTCCTCCCACAGAAAGACACAATGAACCCATAGGCCCCGTAGTAGTTGCTTTTTAGGGTTTTAGGGTTCAGGGTTTAGGGTTTAGGGTTGTGGTTTGTACTTAGGATCCTATTAGGCAAGCCCAAAAAAGAACTACTATGGGGCCTATGGGCAAGCATTGCTGCTGATAATTTGATAGAAATTACAACTACGATTATGCTAAAGTACCATGGCCATACGAATAACAATAACAATGTAACAACAAATGTCTAGCAAGAAATCAACTAAAAAATGACAAGAATGACAATAAACATGGCAGTGCTTATAAACATTACTACTATTATATACTGTTAGTGTAAAGCTGATAACAACACTAAGACTGACTCTCACAGACTCTGCCTCTGAGACAGACACTAACTCTCGCTCTGACAGTGACACAGACTCTGTCTAAGGGGGCGTGGGGGTGAAACCATGGGCCCCACTTAAAGGATCATGGGACTTAGTAAGTAGGGTTATAACTAAGGTAACTATACTTATAACCCCAATTAAGGGACTTATAACCTTACTTACTAAGTCCCATGATCCTTCAAGTAATATGGACCCTTAACCCTGGGATCCTTATACACCTACTATATACCCTATATGTACCCTCAAGGGTCCCTAGAAAGGCCTAAGGATCCGGCCTATACTTCTAACCTAAGACTCTGACACTGTCTTGCCACAACTTCTAGGAACTCTAAACCCCAAGTCCTAAACCCTAAACCCTAAACCCTAAACCCTAAATCCTAAACCCTAAACCCTAAACCCTAAACCCTAAACTCTAAACTCTAAACCACTGATCTTGGTATCCACCCTCACCGCAATGATGG